TAAATGTAATTAAATACATCAACAGATGTCAAAACAAAAACCACATGATCATATCATTAGATGCAGAAAAAGCTTTTGATAAAATCCAGCACCCCTTCTTGATAAAAACCCTTGAACATCTAGGCATACGGGGAACATACCTCAAAATAGTAAAAGCCATCTATGAGAAACCCACAGCCAGCATACTCCTAAATGGACAAAAATTGGAACCAATTCCCCTGAAAACTGGAACTAGACAAGGATGCCCACTCTCTCCCCTCCTGTTCAACATAGTATTGGAAGTCCTGGCTAGAGCAATCAGAGAAGAGGAGGCAATCAGAGGTATTCAAATAGGAAAAGAGGCAGTCAAGTTATCTCTCTATGCAGATGATATGATGGTGTACCTTGAAAACCCAAGAGAATCTGTCAAAGGCCTCCTTACATTGATAAAGGCCTTTGGCAAAGTCTCAGGATACAAAATAAATGTACAAAAGACAATTGCATTTCTCTACACCAATAATAAACAAACAGAAACCCAAATAAAAAACACAATTCCATTCACAATAGCCACAAAAAAAATGAAATACCTTGGCATCTTCCTAACCAGAGACGTGAAAGACCTTTATAATGAAAATTACAAAACACTGCTCAAAGAAATCAAAGCTGACACGAACAAGTGGAAAAATATCCCATGCTCATGGATCGGAAGAATCAACATTGTGAAGATGTCCATCTTACATAAGGCAATCTACAAATTCAATGCAATACCCATTAAATTACCAACAACATTCTTCTCAGACCTAGAAAAAACAACACAGGAATTCATATGGAAGCACAAATGTCCAAGAATAGCCAGAACAATCCTCAGCAAAAAAAACAAAGCAGGTGGTATCACATACCAGACTTCAACTTTACTATAAAGCTACAATCATCAAAACACCTTGGTATTGGTACAGGAACAGGTATATAGATCAATGGAACAGAATTGAGATTCCAGAAGCAAAACCCCAATTCCTCAACCAACTCATCTTCGACAAAGCCCCCACCACCTACCAGTGGGGAGAAGAGAACCTATTCAGTAAATGGTGCTGGGAAAACTGGTTGACCACATGCAGAAGATTGAAACAGGACCCCTATCTATCCCCATGCACAAAGGTTAACTCCAAATGGATCAGAGACCTAAATGTAAAACCTCAAACCATAAGAACCTTAGAAAAGGAAGGAAATACTCTCATGGAAATCGGAACTGGCATCCAATTCCTGTACAAAACCCGAAACCCACAGGACTTAAGAGAGAAGATAGACAAATGGGACCTTATTAAACTGACAAGCTTCTGCAAAGCCAAAGAAACCATCAAGAGAGCAGGGAGACAGCCTACAGACTGGGAAAAAGTCTTTGCCAACTCTAGGTCTGACAAAGGCTTAACATCCTGGATCTACAAGGAACTGAAACGTACTGAAAAGAAGAAAACAAACAACCCCATTATAAAATGGGCAAAAGATATGAACAGACACTTCACAAAAGAAGACATTCGAGAAGCCAACAAACACATGAAGAAATGCTCAACCTCACTAATCATCAGGGAGATGCAAATCAAAACCACACTGAGATACCACCTAACTCCAGGTCAGAATGGCAATTATCAACAACTCAAAAAATAACAGCTGCTGGAGAGGGTGTGGTGAAAAGGGAACACTTCTACACTGTTGGTGGGAGTGTAAACTAGTGCAACCTCTGTGGAAAGCAGTGTGGCGATTCCTAAAAGCTCTAAAAATTGACCTTCCATATGACCCTGCAATCCCCCTACTGGGAATATACCCTGAAGAACACAAATCACTCTATAAAAAAGATACCTGCACACGTATGTTTATCGCAGCGTTGTTCACAATAGCAAGAACCTGGAAACAACCATGCTGCCCATCAAAAGAGGACTGGATTAAAAAAATGTGGTACATATACACGATGGAATACTACGCAGCCATAAAAAAGAACAAAATCATGAATTTCGCAGCAACCTGGATGGAACTAGAGTCTATAATACTGAGTGACCTCACACAGAAACAAAGATCAGAATATCACATGTTCTCACTCATATAATGGACCTTGAACATCCAATGCAATACTGTAAGAAAATGACTGACGGTACTAGGAAACTATGGGGGGGAGGGAGATGGGATTAACAGTAGCAAAATATCTGTCTGGGGCTGGGAAAACACCTCTTATCAACAGGGTGTCTGAATGAAACGTAATTGTACACCTAACCCTTAACTGTACCCCACAAAACTATAATAAAAATACTGATTAATTATTAAAAAAAAAAAAAAAAGAAAAGCCCCAGGGTGATTTTTTGGTGGACAGGCCTTTTGTAATCCAGGCTTCTACCACTACATAGTGTTCTAGGAACCCATTGGCATCAGTGAACCAGCTTGTGTTGTTGTGGGAGGCTGCATTCAGCTTCAGCGAATTTTTGTTTTTGGAGATTCTTGCGGTGCATTTGCCCATTTCATGTTGGGTGCTGTACGAGCACACCTGCCCACACTACACTGAGCGTTCAGCAGTTTTTGACCCAAAACAGCATGACCCTGTGCACCACCATCCCTATTTACTGATCGCTGTTTTTTGTTTCCCTGGATGAAAAAGAAGGGAAATCTTTTGCCCATGTGAAAGGGATAAAACCAAAATGGCCGAAGTACTAAAGGGCATCCAAATTGATGAGTTCAGAAACTGTTTTGAACAGTAGAAAAAGCATCTTGATAGGTGTACAGCCTCAAATGGAGGACACTTTGAGGGTCACTAAAATTTAAACATGTAAGAATAAATACACAATTCTTTATAAATAAATTCAGGCTTTGGGGGGTACCCCCCTCACATATGCAATATATCCAATATCTTGTTTCTTATTTGACTCTGGGATTTATACTTTTAGGTGACTAGTGTGGTAATTTGTCTTCAGTGAGACTTTTAGCATACATCAGTTTGCCTTTGCCATATAGGACCCTTCTGTGGGTTATCTTTGTCTCTTACCTGTTTCTTCCCTAAGTCTTAACTGCCTTTGAGTAACCAAGGAGTCAGGAGCCACTGGGCATAGCACTTGAAAGAGGCTAATCATAAAAGCAGGTTAGAGAAGGCACCTAGTGCCCTGATGTGTAAGACATATATTTCTTGCTTTAAAACTGATCTGTGGCCAGGCTTGGTGGCTCAACCTGTAATCCCATGCCTTGGGAGGCCAAGGTGAGTGGATTGCCTGAGCCTACAGGTTCGAGACCCGCCTGGGAAACTTGGCAAGACCTCATCTCTACAATAAATCAAAAAATTAGCCTGTAGTTCCAGCTACTTGGAAGGCTGAGGCGGAAGGATCGCCGGAGCCCAGCAGGTTGAGGCTGCGGTGGCCAGGAGCGGCCACTGCACTGCAGTCTGGACAACAGAGTGAGACTCCAACTCAAAAAAAATAAATAAATAAAACTGATCTATATACACAACCTAAATTTATGAGTTTGGATTATATTTTTGAGCCTTTAAAAAAAATTTTTTTTTGAGTCAGGGTCTCATTCAGTTGCTTAGGAGGGAGTGCAGTGGCATGATCATGACTACTGCAGCCTCAGCCTGGTGGGCTCAGGCTATACTTCCGCCTCAGCCATCTAAGTAACTGGGACTACAGGCCTGTGCTACCATGCCCAGCTAATTTTTTAAATTTATTGTCAAGACGAGGTCCCACTGTGTTTCCCCAGCTGGTCTCAAACTCCTGGGCTCAAGCAATCTTCTCGCCTGGGCCTCCCAAAGTGCTAGGATTATAGGTGTGAGTCACTGCACACAGCAAGCCTTTAAAATTTCTAAAAGAGTTTTAGAGCACAACTTAGAATATATTCACATAAACCTAGCTTTGAAAAAAGTGAGTTTAAAGCATCGTTTGCTTTAAATATCAGAATTATTATTTGGCCAGGGAACAAATTTCTGAAATTTAAAAGGTCAAACATGTATCTGATTAAAAACAAAAACCAAAAAACAGAAACACACACATACACCATTGTGTTGAGAATTTCAGGTTTATAAATATAAAAATTAGAGATCTGTTTCATACAATGTAGATATCCTATATTATGTGATTCTGAGACTAGAATGGGTATTTAGAAAAATAATGTCTTTTTACATAAGACTTAGCTAATCCTTTGCTTTCAAATCTTTAAGTTACCAGATATTTTTTTGTTTCTTTGTTTCTTGCTAGTGTTTATTGATTGTACATAGCTACTTGGTAATTTCTAAAACCACCCTCCTAAGAAATAAAACTTATTTTGTTTACAGGATGTTATACCAGATGCCTCAAAATATTGTGGGCCCTACAAACCACATAGTATCTTAAAGCAGGACAACCCTTCTTATAAAGAAACAGGAGATGATCACGGTCATGACACTATTGGTAATTCGCCTTTTGTGCCCTTTTAGTCGGTGAAATTACATTGCCTTTCTGTGGCTCTTCTTCATCCCTACTCATAAACCAGAAGTTTATTTTGATCAACTTTGGCCAAGTAAGTGTGCCTCTCGCTTATAGACAGATAGATAGATAATCAGGCTTGTCTTAGCATCTTTATACAGTTTGGCAAATTATGCCAGACCCCTAAAATTCAATAGCTGTTCCTTTGTGGATTTTTAAGTCTTTGTTATTTTTTTGGTAATTGTATATTCAAGTGACCTTTAATAATTTTTCCAAGCTGTAATGTTGAATGAAGGTTTGTATTAGTCTGTGTCTTTGTGTATTCACTGCTGCTGTAACACCACAGACTGGATAATGAATAAATAATACAATATGATCGACCCCTGGTTCTGGAGGCTGGGAAGTTCACGAGCATAAGGTTAGCGTCTCTGGAGATGGTCGTCCCAAGGCAGAAGGTGAGATGAGACAGAAGGAGGAAATAGAGTCCAACTGATGCTTTTTATCAGGAACCCACTCCCCTGATAACAGCATTAAGCTTTCATGGCCTGGTCATGTCTAAAAGGCCCCACCTATTAATACCGTTACAGTGGCAATTAAGTTTTCAGCACGTGAACTTTTGTGAGACACATTCAAATATAGCAGTCTATATTTGTGATTGCTTTTTGGAATTACCTTTGAAACGGTATTGAAAAGTAACAGCAATTTGAGGAGTGAGCATATGGGATATCTGCCAAATGGTGCTATGCAACCCAGTCATTAAAAAGCCCAAGTCACACCATTGGTATAATTTTCAGTATTCTCATGTTTCCTGTTTTTTAATGAAAGAACATATTTATGTTACTTGCTTAGTCAATTGTGACTGTTATAACAAAATATCACAGACAACAGAAGTTTCACAGTTTCAGAGACTAGGAAGTCAAGATCAGGGCACCAGCAGATCCAGAGTTTGGTGAGGACCCATTTCCTGGTTCACAGCTGGTACTTTCTTGCCTCACATGGTAGAAGGGGCAAGGTGGCTCTCTGGGACCTGTTCTATAATGGCACAAATCTCATCCATGAGATGAGGGGGCTCTGTCCTCATGAACTAATCGCCTCCTAAAGGCTCCACCTCTTATTTCCATCACCTTGTGGATTAGGATTTTGACATGAATTTGAAGGGAGCCTAAACATTCAGACCATAGCAGTTACCAACTGCTCAATTCTTGGTTATACTGAGGTAAAATTCAGGTACCTGCAATGATTTTTTTTTTTAACTTCTAGGCATGGTTGTGATCCACAAGATGGGGCATACTGCTGCTGGTACATCTACAAATGGTATAAAATTCAAAATACCTGGGTTAGTGTTTCCAAAAGAATAGATCTCTCACGTCTATGTTGAGCATAAAGCATTGTGTGCTGGGTACTGTGTGGGCTGCAAAGTCCAGCCCTTGCCTCACAGCCAAGACAAGTGAATGTGAAAGAAGGTCTGGTACTGTCTGCTGAGGGCCAGAGGAGGAGTCCCAGTGAGGGCTGTAGCTCCAGTGTTTCAGCTGGGGTAGTTAGGAAAACCAGGAGAGTGATGTTTGGTGCCGGGCCCTATGTCCCCAGAAGGGAAAGGAGAGCTTGCAGGCAAAGACACTAGCTTATACAAGGTGGGATTCACTTCGAGGTCTGGGCTCTCACAGGCTGCAGAATTGTGTGAGTCCAGGAGGTCAGCAGCAGGGTGCAGGAGTCACGGAAGATCAGTCTGCAAGGGAGGACTGCTGCCAGATTCAAATTGTCTTGATTCAGTTTAAGTTTTATTTTGAAATAAAAAAGCAATGAAGGTTTTTCTTAGTAAAAATTTGGCACATTTCCATAGGGAGCAGAAATAGATTATGAGGTTATAGGGAAACCAATTTGGAACCTGTTGAATTAGATGATAAATAGAATAGTCATGTAAATCCATACCATTTTGGTATATGACTGATAACAAAGTCTTTTAAAAATAATATTACTTATCTTAATTGCCAATAAAAATTGTATATATTATGGTGTACAGCATTGTATGTATTGTAATTGTATATATTCTGATGTTTGATATATGTATATGTTGTGGAATGGCTAAGTCAAGCTATTTAACATGTTACCTCACATACCTATTTTTTTGTAATGAAAACACTTAAAATCTACTCTTTCAAATGTACAATTTGTTGTTGTTAACTGTAGTCACCATGATGTGCAATAGATCTTTTGGATTTATTCCTTCTGTCTTACAGAAATGTTGTGTCCTTTGATCAGTGTCTCCTCAATCCCCTGCCCCCTCCTCCTCTGGTTACCACCATTCGCATCTCTGTTTCTATAAGTTCAACTTTTTTTACCCTCCATATCTGATAAATTCTTATGTAATTAATGTACCTTGATGAAATCCTAAGTTGAAAAATTGATGAAAAGCTTTTCTCTGTGTTCTGATGAAGAATTTACTTAAAACACTATCAGTGACTAAGTGGAAACATTCCCTATTTCTTAGGCAGCTCATAACTTAATTTAGTTTACACTTAATTTCCTGTCTTAAATTATTAACACCCTCACATAGTCGTATAGGAGATTCACCAATACCTGGAGCTGGGGCCTACGCTGATGATACTGCAGGGGCAGCTGCAGCCACTGGGGACGGAGATATATTGATGCGCTTTCTACCAAGGTGTGACTTCTTGCATTTGTGAATTTTAGAGATCTGTAGAGAGGGTATTTTCTCTTCTGAGATAGGAAGTAATTTGTACCATGTAATCTGAATTTGTGTGCACAAGAGCTTTTTAGACTCTGCATACAAACTTTCTATCTATCATTTTGCTAATGATAATCATTCAAGTTAAGTAATCATAGTCATGTGAAGTAGAAGAGTTAGAAGTTCTCACCCTGCTTCACAGATGAGAATACTTATGATTTATTTAAATAATTGATGCAAACTACTGAGTAAAGCTACTGTGATAATTATGATAAAAGTAGGAAGTGCAGTCATTGTGTACAATTAACTACTACAGCTAGATTTTTGCACATGCACAGTATTTTCACCTTTGATTGTAGCTTCATTTCATTTAAATATAACCTCTATTCTCCATGCCTTCTGGCTGTTATTACTAAGTGGCAGTTATTCAGCCAAAACCAAAAATCATAGTCTTTGTCTGAAGTTGATGAATAGATGAGTTGAAAAGGTAAACATTGTTTTAAGGTTGACTTGCTTTGTTGATGCTTTAACAGGAGTTACAGAGTACAGTTCATTTATATATATTCGATTAATTGTGAGTTTTGATGGTTTTATATTTCTAACTTCAAGTTACCTAATTTGGAGGTAGTATTTACTCTATGATACTAAAGTTTCACCTCTGTTTAAATCAGCTACCAAGCTGTAGAATATATGAGAGGAGGAGAAGATCCAACCATAGCTTGCCAAAAAGTGATTTCAAGAATTCACAAGTATTATCCAAAGTTCTTTGGGGCTGTTATATGTGCCAATGTGACTGGGAGTTATGGTAAGTTGGTTTTGGATTTCGTATTTGTGTGAACTTGCAAATGTTTATAAGACATGTACTTTTAAATACAGCAGTGTACAATTCACTGCAGGTATTGTATAAGTATTACACTGTAGGTATTGTATAGGTATCAAGACCTTCAAAGTGTTAAAAATATATCTAAAAACCCTCCTTCGGGAAAAAAAAAAAACTCTCCTTTGATTGACTGCTGATTGTTATGGTCTGGTCTTTGGCTATTAGTTCTAATCTTTCACATGTGTCCTAAACAAGGTTTAGCTTCAGCTTTAGTGCATGTCAAGATGGGCTAATCTAGACAAGTGCTTTTATTAATTAGAGGTAGACAGGGATAAATTATCTTCCCTATTTCTTTTCTATTCATGATTTAAATGTCTCAGCCATTTAGATCTTCTTGGGGCTCCAAAGAACAAAATGTATTACTAATTAGGAAACTGAAGAAGTTAGCAGAATTATTTTTGTCTGTGTGTGAGACATGTCTTTGCTTCATTTACTTTCCATATGAGCCTATCACAGTTTCAAAGCATTTGAAGATCAACCACTGCTGCTTCTCATTAGTGCATTTTCAGATGGGGAAGATACACAGCTTACTGATCAATATGACTTATTAGGTTGGACTGCTTATTATTGTTCTTTGATCTTTTACTTCCCACAGTTCTGTATTTGAAAAACTTGTTTGAAGAATACTTTATTCTTTTTTAAGTACTAAGACACAAAAGTCAATAAAAGTTATGAGGGGGAAAGGCTTTACGCAGAAAATAAGTCAGTTTTATTGATTTCCTCTTAAGAAATAAACCTTATTAGAAGGCTCAGAGTTGGATTTAACAGAATGGAAAAATGATAATTATACAATTGAAGAATTTAAAATGGACTAGTTTCATCTATTTAAAATAATGAGAGTAGAAGGAGACCTCGCATCCACCCCTAGGTGTTTGAGCAAGAGGAGAAGAACTTGCCTAGACAGAAAACGTCTTCACAAATCTGTCTTCCCTATTTCTGATTAGAGTAGAACAGGAAAGAATAGGAAGCAATGGTGGGTTGGGGGTTTATGGATGACAGGTGAGAATGTTCCGGTGGCTAGGGAAATAAAATCTTGGGAATGTGCTTCAATAATTGCTTCTAAGAAAAGGGTATGAGAACAGAGCTAAATAATAGTAGCAATGGCAGCATATGTATGGAGCATAAGAAATCAGTCAGTTTTCAGAAGTTCAATGAGATGGCTTGTCCATTACCTCTTCTTTCCTTTTGTGGACTATCCACTACACAGTAATAAGTAATAAGGAGGATGACACTGTTGTACTTCTGTGTGGTTTAATTAGACATAAAGCAGACAATAGCCAGCATTCAGTCAAATAAGCAATAACTGTATTAGTTGTACCATGTGTGCATCCTATATTTAGCAAAGCGTTTAACTTTCTCATTTTCGGCCTTAGGTGCTGCTTGCAATAAACTTTCAACATTTACTCAGTTCAGTTTCATGGTTTATAATTCTCTAAAAAACCAGCCAACTGAGGAAAAAGTGGACTGCATCTAAGCCATCTTTTCTATCACCGTCTGTCTTTAAAGAAGAAAAGCAAAGGTCTGAAAAGATTGCTTATTATAGTCATACAGTGTTCCTCATGTAATCTAAAGTAGTTTTTTTTTTTTAAAAAAAAGGTACAAAAATAAATGTATGCTAAAGTGGCACTTTCACTTTCTATTTTTAAAATGTTTCTATTATTCATTTTTATTTATAATCCCAATTGACTGAAGACCCTCTTTAAAACCTTGTATATCCCCTGAAAATGAATATGTATATATGCATGTTTTGTATATATTTAAATTGTAAGTGATATTTGGATTTCTGATCAATGTTGTAACAAATTGCTGCTTTGGAGATGTATTTCCACAGTGAAAAGCATCATATTTGGATACTTAAATTAATTATAGTATACAAATTTTTTAAACCCAAAGGAAAAAAACAGAGTCTCAGCATGATTAATCCTTATTGAATTTCAGTGCGTTGCAGTGATATGTCTCTTCACTGATTATTAGTTTTACATAGTATTCCCTAAAAGCTTAAAGAAGGAAGATGATATTAAAAATACAGATACTTATTATTTTGCACACATTAGAAAATCTGGGCAGTCTTCTGAAGAGTGTTTATGTTGATTTTGTTTGCTTTTTTCCTCTGATAGAGCTCTCAGTATGTGAAGGTTCTTAAACTACAAAAATCTCTGATCTTTTAGCTGTTAGTATTTAGTATTGATCATTTCTTTTGAAAATGATTTGGGGAGCTTGATCTGTACTGTAATTTTACTAATCTCTTGTGCAGAGGTGGGTATTGCAATTAGAAATAAGCCAATATATATGTTATCTAGCTTGATATTGTTTTCCCAACCTCTGAATTAACTGTATTACTGACGCCCTATACAAGAAGTTGTATGTGTGCTTTCTTTACTGGCATCATTTTTACCCTCAGAATCATTATCTTTTAAATCAGGAGTCATTAATAAATCTACATGTACAATATTGTCCTCAAACTTAAGTATTTCTGCTCTGTTTTTTCTATACTGTTTTTAAGGTTTCTTTTATAATTCAAGGTAGAAAACTATAGTTTTGAGAATGGCATAGGTCACTTGTTCTCAGAACTTGCTATAATCACAATTGACTCTCTGGAGAACCTCTTTAAAATGCCCTCTATCCCACTAAATCACAAAGTCCTTTAAAGGAGGACTTGAAGTCTGGAATTACCAAGTACTCATGGTAGCCTGAAAGCCAATAAGGAAACAGCCCTACAGCTTCATACTAACAGCAGAAGAGGAAATCTTTTAAGGGTTCCTATGAGGTAGGCCAACTTGCCAAAACCTGATGCTGGGCCTTGAAACAAGAAAAAAAGAAGCCAGATTTCAACTTACGGTGTATTTATATCAAGATGATGCTTTTGTTTTGCATATTTTTTATCCATTAATAAGTTAGGCAGTCATTTACCATCAGGAAAGTGAATTTGAAAGTATTCATGACCTGTCACTCTCCAACAAATTAGGAATTTAGCTGACAAAAACAACCCACATGTTTTTAAAAGTATTTCTCTTTAATGCACATTCTTCCTGAAGGAAATAATTTCCTTATATGTATATAGAACGACAAATGGAATTTGATATACAAATACATTTTTAAGGTTCTAGATTTGACCATAATATTATCTAAATAATATACAAGTGTTGTTCATTTTTTTCGAAAAAAAAATTTTTTTGGCCCTAGTGATGCTGTAGGGAACAGAGGGAACTCACGTCTTTGATGTTGTATTGATAACAGTGTTCACTGGGGTTGTAGGGAAGGCACATATGACAATAGTGAAATAAGACAGTTGACAAAGGAATTGTGAGCCTGTCATAAATATAGAAGTGGTTCACTGTGTGCGGGCAGGGTGGTTTACACTTGTTTTTTTGTTTGTTTGTTTGTTTTTGAGTTGGAGTCTCACTCTCTGTCACCCAGACTGGAGTGCAGTGGGCGCTCCCAGCCACCGCAGCCTCAACCTGCTGGGCTCCAGTGGTCCTTCCGCCTAAGCCTTCCGAGTAGCCGGAATTACAGGCATGCACTACCACGCCCGGTTGATTTTTTGATGTATTGTAGAGATGAGGTCTCGCTGCCCAGGCGAACCCGCGGGCTCAGGCAATCCACTCACCTCAGCCTCCCAAAGGCGCGGGATGACAGGCTGAGCCACTGAGCCTTGCTGGTTTGCACTTGTAATCCCAGCACTTTGGGAGGCTGAGGTGGGAAGATTGCTTGAGGCAAGGAATTTGAGGCCAACATGGGTGACATAGCAAGAACTCATCACTACAAAAAAAATTTTTTTTAAAGAAATGGTTTGCTAAAACTTGGGAAAAGCAAGAAGAGTTTTCAAATTGAAGGAAACTTCAGGAAATAATCTAACTTTATGGCAGACAGTAGTTGGTGGTTTGTTTTACATCTTTCCTGGGTACATCATGTATAGATTGTGGGGCTGTTACATAACATAGGGTAAGATAAGGAAGATGGTTACAGAACTTTCTTCCCCATTTTGGTGAGTTTTTTTCCTTTGGCCTTATAAAAGTGATCTATCATTTGCCTACAACTAAGGTGAAATTAGATTGTCTTAAGCTCATATATGGTTAAGCAACTTTTCTAAGTGATTCTGAGAATATATATATTGCCACTTAGATTTTTATTTTTATTGTCTAGATCTCTATCTAAATTTATAATAAAAATCTAAGTAGCAATACATATCAAGTGACAGTAGTTATAGATATATATAGAGAGAGATTATATATGTGTGTGTCCATATATATATATACATGCACACATATATAGAGAAAGCGATGTGGAAAGAGGAATATATTTTCTTCCATTTTCAACTTATACCTTTCATCTCATATAACATTACTAACATAGCCTAGGGGTTTAGTGGGCATAAACTTGAGAATTCTCTTAGCTCAATTTGAGCATTCTCTTAGCTCAATGTAACAGCAACACTTTGAAAAAGGAAGTCATTTTGATATTAGCAATATCAAAATTTCTTGATTAATACCCTCAGAGGCTTCAGATAAACATTTTCTCAAGTGTTTTTATTCTTAGCACAATAGGCGCAAGAGAAATGTTAACCACAGTGTGTAATACAGATTTTGGTAATTTCATGCTCTTCATTTATTTGCTTTGATTAATGCCTGGAACAGATTTTTAAGAATTGTTTTACTTTCTTTTTTTATGTGGGACAACTAAGACTCTTCTTGTGGTTGATTCTTATTTCTACTAACCACAGTGATCGCTATGAATTCTGTTCACCAAACATTTCCAGCTCTGCCTGTCTGACACGTAGGATTGCTCTTCTTGGCTTTGTGATTTGGTACAACAATGTGAGTAGTTCTGGTGATGAGTTTTGGGCAGTAGTGAAGTGTGAGACCTTCCTGAGCATCTTTTTTTCCCAAATGCCTGACAACATGATGGCTGTTCCCATCAACCTGTGTCCTTGAGTGACCGTAATGAGCAGGCCCTCATGACAGTACATGATGGACATGAAGTGTGAACAGGAAATGAGCCTTTGCTATTGTGACCCAGCATAAACTGCATCCTGACTGATAGACATGAGATGCTTACATAATTAAAAGTTCTGTGGAGGTTATTCAACTAATGACCAAATGAAACTTTTTTTTTTTTTTTGAGTAAGAGTCTCACTCTGTCACCCAATGCAGTGACATGATCATGGCTCACTTCAGCCTTGGCTTTTGGGGCTTAAGGGCTCCTTACACCTCAGGCCCCTAAGTAGCTGGGGCTACAGGTGCATGCCACCATGCCCAACTAAATTTTTTCCCCCCAGGCTGATCTCAAACTCCTGGGCTAAAGCAATCCTCTCTCTTTAGTCTCCCAAAATGCTAGAATTACAGGCATGAGTCATGATTCCAGGCTAACAAATGAAACTCTCTTTAAAGGACAAAAAGGAATTTTTGAAAAATAGACATATCTAGAAGGATATTAATAGGAAATTAATCAAAAAGTTAGAGATATTACTGGGTAGGGAGGTTGTGGGTAACTTTATCTTAATAATTGGGTATTTTTAAAAAGTAGCATATATACTGAAAGATTCAAACTGTATGACATTCTGGAATAGACAAGATTGAAGAGCCTAAAAAAGGTTAGTAGTTGCCAGGACTTGGTGGGGAGAGAGGGATGAACAGGCAGAGAACAGACAACTTTTGGGGCACTGGGATTATTTCCTATGATATTGCAAATGGGGATGCATGTCATTATACTTTTGCTCAAACTCATGGAATGTACAGCACCAAGAGTAAGCCCTGTTGTGAACTTTGGACTCTGGGTAAGGTTGTGTCAATGCCAGGTGTATCTGTTGTACAATGTACCATTCTGGTAGGGATATGGAAAGCAGGGTAGACCATGCATGTGTGGAGGAAGGGGGTGCAGGGAAAACCTCTATATCTTCCTCTCAGTTTTGCTGGGAACTTAAAACTGTTCTAAAAACATAGTCTATTTAAAAAGTCAAAAGAATGTATATTATTTTTAGATGAGGGAGAAACTTAAGTATTAAAAATCTTGCATCTGGACATGTGCTAGAATATTATATACTAATAGTAGCCAACATTGATTGAGCACTTAAATATACTAATCATTTTGGGGCTGGGCTCGGTGGCTCAACCTGTAATCCCAGTACTTTGGGAGACCGAGGCAAGTGGATTGCCTGAGCCCACGGGTTCAAGACCAGCCCGGGCAACTTAGTGAGACCTCGTCTCTACAATAAATTTTTTAAAATAGCCGGGCGTGGTAGCGCGTGCCTGTAGTTCCGGCTACTTGGAAGACAGGTGGAAGAATTGCCAGAGCCTAGCAGGTTGAGGCTGGGGTGGCCGTGAGCTTGCCACTGCACTCCAGCCTGGGCAATGGAATGGGACTCGGACTCAAAAAAAAAAAAAATACTAAGCATTTTTGTGTGTATTATTCATTTAATTCTACCAAAAACTGATGAGAAAGATAGCATTAGTATCCTCGGTTTAGATATGTTATGCATAGTAGCTGCAATTCTTTCAGGTATGCATGGTGCTGGCTTTTGTTTAAGACTGTCTGTCCCACAGAAAAAGATACCTACACATGTATGTTTGTTGCAGTACTATTCACAATAGCAAAAACATGGAACCAACCATGTTGCCCATCAAACCTGGACTGGATTTTTTTAAAAAGTGGTACATAATACACAATGGAATATTATACAACCATAACAAAGGACAAATGTGGACTTCGCAGCAATTTGGACAGATTCAGAGTCCATCATACTCAGTGATCTATCACAGAAACAAAGAATTGAGTACCACATGTTCTCATTCATAAGCAGACACTGAACATTTACCATAATACTATAGGAAAGGGATTGGCAGTAGTGGGATATTGATGGAGTGGGGGTGGGGACACAGCATCAACAAGGGTATTTCATCTCAAATCAGACAAAGTGGGGACCAAAGGGTGGCCCAAACTTTACCTGTATCATGACCACTTGTATACCTAATCCTGAATTTTACCCCACATCTTTAAAAGAAAAAAGAAGACTGTCCTGAAAATCTTTGGTTTTTGTCTTTGTCAGAGATTGTTTCTATAGCGAAAGCCTTGGAAGATTGAGATAGCATCTCTCTCCTGGGCAAGGAGCATATTTGTTTGCTATCCAGTACGATAAGGATTATGTCCCCCTTTGAGGTGAAGTTCAGACAGGTTTCTTTGCAGCCCCTAATAAAAGATTGGTGTTTCCTAAACATGAAGTCCCTCAGCTGTGATGCAAATCGCTTGAAGCTGCCTCTCTGTACCTCCAGAGGACCTAGGAGGGACTTAAACATGAAGGTCATGTTACTTGTTGTGCTGTGACTAATAACGTCCTTTGTCCCTGACCTAGGTTTCTCATGTTTTCCTCCAGCTTCATGAAGCTGTGGTGGGTTAACTTGGTAGCTGGTAAATAGGGTGAAATCTCTTTACTGTTCGTGACACTCAATAGTAAATTAGGAAGAGAGCC